TTTTTTTTTTTTATTCCTGCCCATTTTACTTTGACTTCTTATTTGTATTTTATTTGATCCTTTTATTTCACATTTTACTTTAACCTCTTGTGTCCATACACATTTTTTCTATTTTAACTTAAAGGTCACCTATCATGCTCTTTTTAGGCAATAGCATAGGTCTCAGATATTTACAAATATATTAAAAACATGTCTATGAAGTGTTTTGCTCAAAATACAGATCACCCATTCTAGCCATGCCTCATATCCCTCTATTTCACTTCCTGTTTCAAAAGTGCTGATTTGGGGTATAAAGCTTTAAAAAAAAAAAAAAAGGAGGGGTCTGAGCTCATGTGGGACCCAGCAGCTACTGTCTAAACTAAATACTGCGGTGATGAAACGCCATATCATGGATTATCAAGGATTATCTCTGAAACAGTATGGAGCTCAAAGGCTTTCTCTCTTGCCGGTTATACCACAAGGTGAGTTCCTTTTTATTTCCTGCTTCTTCACACACATGCTCTCCAGTACAGGTTAGCTCTGAGTGTTAGCGATGCTAATGTAAACACCGACCATATTACGTCCAAAACAGTCGGGCATTGTTTCTGATAGCAACGTTTCTGATAGGGCCGTGGGTCCACATTTCAGATATTACGTCATATCGGACGCAAATCTGGATCAGCTCCGTTGTTCCCCCGTTTTTAGAGATTCGGGTACGGAGGAAAAGAGAGAGGGTTTTATTTTCTGATGCTGCGTGAGTTCCCCGACACACCGGGACACATCTTTATGTAGAAAAGACATTAAAAAGTGCATTTTGCATGATAGGTCCCCTTTAAGACATTTTATTAAAATGATACCACATCTTTTTAATTAATTATTTAATTCCTTTTAAGATGTTTTAAGGATCTGTGGGAACCCTGGTTAGAAACATTTTAGTGTTGAGGGTATGCAATGTTATCTTTAATGACAAGCATTTTTCATTAACTGATTTTTTTTCCATATTTTTTTGTTCTTTAGATTTGTCTTTTTACCTTTTTTGTAACAAATTAAAACTATGTTACAGTATTGTACTCCACACAAACCCGATGCCTAGTCAAATGTATAGACCAATCTTCCATTGTTTATACACTGCAGGACTTCTGGACGGTGAACAGCGGAGGATTTGATTTTCCTTACCGTCATTTTAAGCAGTTCCTCCTTGGTGGGCGGGGGTTTCTTGTTGATCTTCTGAGGTTTCTCTTGGATGGGCGGAGGGTTGGTCTTCAGGCCGAGCTGTTGGGGCTGAGGAACAAAAAGGTCATGTGATTATCATCTTAGATAAAGCACCAAGAAATGTTTACTGATGATTCGGTGTGGCCAGGATTCTTTAATTCTCTCCCACGCTAATCTTTAACACTTTTAATGTTTTCTTTGAATGCTTTTTGTATTCTTTAAATGTTAACTACCCTTTTCCTACAATTTAAGGCATATTAGACTCAAGATTTCAAGATTGTATTTGTTTTAAATGACACATTCCTCCGGATCGGCATTTTTTAACCCTTTTTTTTTAAATTTATTTTTTTGATAATGCAACAAAAGAAATGCAAATTATATATTTTTTAAATTCATTAAAATCATACTTTAATATTTTCACAGCTTTTAAAAAAGGACTCTGATTTTTTCAATTCAAAATCAATGCATTCAATACCTTTTTTAAATGTTTAGGATCTGTAGAACTGTGGTGCATCTTAAAAATGATCTAAACTGAGATGAGACGGTCTCCTACCTGTCCCAGAGGGGGGGTCTGAGTGCGGGGGGGCTGGGCGCTGGGAGGCATCATGGTGGGGATCTGAAGCTGGAGTTTGGGTACCTGGTTCTTGTTGAGGAGGAATGACTGGGCAGGTCTGAGGCTGATCTGAGACACCAGCAGACGGCATAAACACAAGGCATACAATACGATTAGTCGTGCACTCGCATGTCTTCCGTTTATTTATTGGTAAACAAACAAATCTGCACAAGAGCTAGATCCAAGAATGTTTCTTCTTTGTCCATATCCTGTAACCCAACTACAACAATGTGTAGTTACCTCGTCTACATTGAGCTGTCCTTTCTTGCTGAATCGGGGAGGCATGTCCTTGGACTGGACTTGCTGTTGGGCCAGGTGGTTCTGGTTCTGGTTGAGGAAATGCTGGTTCTGAACCTGTTGAAAGTCACATGGTAATAGTGAATAACTTCAGGATTTGCAGTGAGGCATCCGTCACTGTCAGTCTGAATAATATTCAAATGTGGCAGCAGGATTACCTGGTTGGACTTAACGAAAGACTTTTGCCCCACGTCGAATTGTGACTGTGGCGGGGGGGCGACGTGGCCACTGTGGCCGTTGAAGAGCGGGTTGGTGCGATGGCGTCCCATGGTGGGAGAGTACCGATCCTGAATAACCCCAGGGCCAGTTCCAATCCCACCGCCTGGGCACACAGAGGAGAGGTCAAGCAGGAGAAACAATCGAGCATTATAGGGTGAACATCAAACCAAATCAAACCATAATGACATTCAACACAGAAAGCATGAAAGGTTAATGAAAACATGATGTGGCTTCTCAAGTTGAGACTAGCGCTGTACGATTAAAAAAAACTATTATTTAGATTGATTGTGCGACAACACATGATCATGGTGTGATTTTTCTAAGAATATTTCTACCCAAAAAGAAATCTCTTGAGTCTGAAGAGTTCTATTGGTCTCCCAGGACTTCTCTGCAGCAGCACATATTCAGCCTTACACCAATATTTAGCTTCCTGTGAATAATATTGCGCTAGTCCACGTTGCGATAACATTGTGATTAATCGTGCAGCCTGAGTCGAGACGTCATGAATTAAAGTCCGTACCTGGCATCTGCCCAAACATATCGGCCAATCCCCCGAGAGTCTCCCTGTCCAGTTTCATTCTGTTGGGCATGAAGGGGCTTTCCAGGAAGAAGTCCATCCTCATCCCCTGAGACATGGGTGCTGGGATGAAAACACTCAAATCCTAAAAAGGGAAACACAGAACAGAGCGGGGGTCCTTACATTTAATATCCAACATTAACTCAAGGCAGTTCCATACTCCATACCAAACTACACGATTGTTATCGTCGCGGAAAAATTAATAAATCACGTGCGTTTCTTTTTGTCAAAACAATATTCCTGCTGACACACTTTCCCACACCTGGTACAAAATGCAGCGGCCAGACTTTCATGCACATATAACAAAAAGGTAAAAAGGTACAGTATACCCCTTTCAGATATTGATTTCCCTACATTGTTTTTGTTTAAAGCCATGTGCTGGCCAAGAGCTGTATTAGAAAAGTGTAACTCTCAAACAGTAAGGAGCTGCATCAAGACTCTGGAATAGCCCCCCTAAAGAAATAAGAAAAGCTAAATCAAATGACTCCTTAAACTGACTCTGCCTTTAACCACTTTCTGGGTGATTGTTTACACGATTTGCATCTGTATTAGGGCTGCACGATATATCGTTACGAACGATAATCACGATATTCACATCGCAGGACCTGCGATTTAAAAAAAAATGTTTTTAGTTTTTTTTAGGACGTGCGATATTAAGTAGACAAATGAACTCAAACACGTAATGTTACAATTATTTTTGCTGCTTGCTACAAAAGGAAAACTCTCATGTCAGGGGTAGTTGAGTGAGTGACAGCAAACCACCAATCACAATCAAATCTCCAAAGCAAACGGACCCGGTGATCAAAGGTAAAAACACTGAATAAAGTAGTTTCATGTGTTTCTCCAGTTCGGCACTGCTAACCGAGCTAGCTCAGCTTGTTGCTCTGATAACTTAAGATCCAGACGTCCGTGACTAAAATCCTTCATCCGGTTAAATATAGTTAGAAAAATACCAATTGTATAGCATTAAAGTTCAGAAAGGATGGTTTGCAGACAAAAAAAAACAGTCTTTTCTTCAATTCCTGTATTTTTTCATCGCAATAGCCTATATATCGCAGGGGGCAAAAAATCGCAATGTCAGTTTTTTTCAATATCGTGCAGCCCTAAGTCACACCTTTTCTTGTTTCGTCTTTTTTCTGTCAAACTTATTTAGAGGGACCAATGAGCATTATCCGCAGCTTATTTAGACTATTGTTGTTCTGTCCTCTCTGGTTTTCCTCTCAAATGTCTTCATTAACTTAAATTGGTCCAGAATTCAGCTGCCCGTGTTATTACCACAACTC